TATAGAGCTCCGAAGGTTTTGGATCGAAGTGCGCGCCGAGGATCGTCACGAGTTCTTCGAACTCGACATCCCCGGGTCCTCTGGGTGCTACCAACGCTCGTACGATGTCATATGTTTCTGGACCGCACAGCGTAAGTAGGACAGCTCGCTTCCTGTCCACGGCGCTGATGTTATTCGCCACGAAGTAGAATCCGAGGCGCTCAATCCAGGATGCCCATGACTTGCCTGAGAAGGCTTCCATTTTGCCTGACTTAGACATGGCTCGAGGTCTGAGGTTCCAGGCGTCGTAGGTCCTTGATTACTCGTCGCCAGTGTCGTGTCCGTGTGGTGATGACAACTACAGCCCGAATACTTATGAGTTTAATATGACCCAGAAGAGCGTCAGTGCCTAGCTTGCGCCATCGGTAGCTCGCAGTTCCAGAGTGCGCGCTCAGGGATCCCGCGCACAGGGCAATGCCGATCTTCGTCCTTTATGCGCGAGGGGCGCCGCGCTGGACATCACACACCCTTTGAAAACGTTCCTGTCCTTGGATAATGATATAGAATGAACAGTGCGGTTCTGGTTACGGTTAAAGCAGGAATCTGGAGGTCGTCTTGATGCCATTCGCTCTGACGTCGGTCCTCACAAGCGCGAGCGAGAATATTCCGGAGCCAAGCAGATCATGTGTCACCTTGAACGGGCCATCGGCTCGGTGGAGATACATCGACAGTAGACCGCGTTTTCTCTAACAAAGCCACCGGCGTTGTGTCAGACAGAATATTTCGCGTTTCACATCGAGGTTTGACAGATCTGGGTCCATCGGAGCTGCAAATATAAAATAAGTTTTAACACAGTGGCTTTATGAGAGCGATGACCTGATGATAACCACCCTTTGAAAACGTTCCTGTCCTTGGATAATGATATAGAATGAACAGTGCGGTTCTGGTTACGGTTAAAGCAGGAATCTGGAGGTCGTCTTGATGCCATTCGCTCTGACGTCGGTCCTCACAAGCGCGAGCGAGAATATTCCGGAGCCAAGCAGATCATGTGTCACCTTGAACGGGCCATCGGCTCGGTGGAGATACATCGACAGTAGACCGCGTTTTCTCTAACAAAGCCACCGGCGTTGTGTCAGATGTAATACCGGTCGGATTGCACCACAGCCGCAGCTTTTGTGGGATGACCCTCCATCTCTTTGTCTCTCTCAGTCCCCCTCTCACTCTCGTCAGTCTCTGTCAGCAGTTGCAGGAGTTGCATCTCATCGGAGCCATTCAACACACATCCGTTTCAGGCATAGGGCGAAAGCGCGACAGCTCCCTACAGGATGTGTGCACTCCTACGGCATGTTGTCACGTGCCTCGCTCAGACCACTTTCATTGGCTGTCCAGCCAATCAGTTGCGGTTCAGCCAAAACACCGACCTGCAAAACAATTAAAAAAAAAGAAAAAAAAGACGTATTTGCGAGTATATTTTTGTGACCGAAGTTTCTCGAATTACGCGTAAAATTCGGAATCCCCGAAACATTAGAAAATGGTGGGAAACATGAGAAATATCTCTCTGACCACAAGAAAGTGGTGAAAAAGTCCAAAGAAAGAAACAAACAGCGTCGCACAAAAAAATAATACGTTTTGTGTGCGCGAAGGCGGAGAGTTAGCACGACTGGTGTGCGTACAAAGGGCCTCCCGCCGTCGTCTCAAGGCACGGTCCCTTGGTACCCTTTCCTGCGAGCGGGGATCGAGAGCGATCGTTTTGTTCAACATTTGGGGAGGATTACACCAGAGACCGGTGCCCACCTCGCGGCCGACGGCTACTAGCGAGGGCGGTTGCCCGCCGGGTTCGCCGACGCCATGTCAACAATCATAATCTCGTTTACTTTGAAATCTTTGACATGTTGCGAGGCCTTTTGATTTGCACAAAAGGAAAGATTTACAGGGATTTCTTCATCGCAAAAATAAACTAGGCAACACCGAACGCTCATTCTCCGCCCAAAGGTAGTGCTAGAGGTCACACGATGCCAAAGTTTCAGCCCGATCCGATACCTAATTCAAAAGTTATAAGTGATTTTCTGAACATTTCAATGGGAGAATGGCGGCCGACGGAGTTTTCGAATACATGGGGCTCTATGGCGCCGGAAACCGAAAACGGGCAAAAATGGGCTCCATTTTCCCATTGAAATTTTCAGAACATTTCAAAGACTGATAGGAGCTAAGCCTTTTTCTTTCTTTACTTTTTCCTCAGGTAAGTTCGCTCTTTGCAAATTTAAAAAAAGAAAAAAAAGAAATGCACCATCTGTGGGCAACGCTGCACAAAGTCGTAGAGCGATAGGTTAAGAAACCGAATTTTCCGGTTGATTTAAAGAGCCTGGCGTCTCCTTGTATCACCCTGTAGTGCTGCTACCTTTGGGCGGAGAATGAGCGTTCGGCGATGCCTAGTTCATTTTTGCGGTAAAAAAAAAAAAAAAAAAAAAAAAAAAAAAAAAAAAATTTGTAAGGCTTTTTTTTTTTTGTGACATCCTGTACTTGTTACTTATTGTTTTGTAGTGTGCTTATGTAGTTTCTTTCTTATTTTAAGTTTGAAATTACAATGAATATCACAAACTCGCTTTCTTTACGTTCCTTTTTGAAAACGTGAACAAAAATAAAAACGTATTTTCCGAATCGTAGAGGCGCAAAATGCCGGTAAGGTTGCTGTCAAATGAGCACACATTTCGTGGGATTGCGGCTCAAATAGAGGACATACAACCAAAATATCACATTTCTAGATTGTTTTTTTTTTTTTTTTTCTTGTAGTAGTCCAGTGGTTCTCAAATGGGGGTCCGCGGACCCTTGGGGGTCCGCGCAGGCATTCTAGAGGTCCGCGAAGCCCTGCCTCATCGGTCAAAAGCCAGGCAATAAAAGTTTCATTTTTTTCAGATCGAGAAGAAATGTTTCAGTTTTCGGGACAGATTTCTCGTGTGTATGTCAATAACTTCTCCTCTCACCACGAACGGGGTCCTCCATCATCTCCGCCGATCGACAAGGGGTCCGCGAAGCATCGATGGTTGAGAACCACTGTAGTAGACTATTATATCTAAAAGATTGTAAAAAAATAAAAAAAAAAACTACAAAAGTGGTTTTTTTGAGAAAATTGACTTCAAACTTTCAACATTTGTTATTTTTTACAACGTTTACGTGAAGGTAGCAGAGCGGCTAGTTGACTGATCATAATGATATTAATATATCTACAGTGGGCTTGTTTAGGGCTTTCTATAGAGCTAAAGAAAGGAAATGTACCTTAAGTACAGAAAATGTAATGACCTCTGCAAAGTTGACCGAAAATCAACCTAAGTGACGAGTTTGACATTTTTTTTTTTTTTTTTTAGAAAACAATAAAGTTCCTAAAACTATTTGAATACATCAAGGTATCTTTATAGTACCCATTAAACGAGGAGGAAAACTTAAAAGGGAGGAGAAAAAAAACACTAGCGCCAGCAGAGGGTGTCAAGCACGTGACCTGCGACGGCAAGCAAAAATACTAGTTTCTGCCACTGCGGCTTCTACGCTTCGTAACTCGAGAACGAAAGAACAGCCGCATCTCCACGTGGTGAATGATGTTATTGGGGCGAAGCTCTGGTGGTGCTTGTCTGCGTAGACGCTGAGCCGCAGCATGCCGAGCCTTTCGTTCGTTTTCATTCATGTCACGCTGCGGTCAAATGCTCGAATGCGTATATAACCACGTTCCATATCACACATTCTCTTTCTGACATGGATGAAACCACCAGAGCTTCGCCCCAATCAACATCGTTCACCACGTGGAGATGCGGTTTTTTTTTGTTTTTTTTTTGCCCTACACCAGCACGGGAGCACGTGCTTACGTGCTCGTGAGCACGTGAGCTCACGAGCGGGAGCACGTGCACCCTACGGCGGACGGACATACGGACATGGCTTATTTACACGAGGGTGAAATCCCGAGGATTTCTCCCCGTTTTTGTGAGGGTAAAAGCGCTAAAAACAACGGACGAGTAAAAGAAACGATCAACACAGAGCGCTACTTGCAACTGAAGTTTATTCACCGGCACGCGCGCATCACGAGATGAAAACGCGAGTCTTTTGCACATCGCAAAGCCTGACGTTTTCGTCGTGGGATGCGCGTGTTGGGGATTTCTCCCGGCACGCGCATCCCACGACGAAAACGTCAGGCTTTGCGATGTGCAAAAGACTCGCGTTTTCATCTCGTGATGCGCGCGTGCCGGGGAAATCCCCGGGATTTCTCCCTCGTGTGAATACCCCTCAAGGAGCTTCGCCCTCCTCCCCCCCCCCCCCCCCCCCAAAAAAAAAAAAAAAAAAAAAAAAGAAAGGAAAAAGAAGGGAAAAAGGCCTTTGTCGCGCTCAAACGGAAACACTCCCATCCCTCTCCCCCAAAGATAGTTAGCACGGCTACCCTTTCGAGTCAGTCTACAGGTCTACAGGACGATCTCTCTCTCTCTCTCTCTCTCAAACGTAGTCTGAAATTGAATGCTCCTCCTTGCGTTCCGATGCGCGAAAGACGCAATTTAGAACAGTTGCCCGCTGTGTACTTGATTAATCCGTTGGGCGTTGCCCGCGAATTAGCGCTAAATAGCCAAAGTTTCATAGCGTCGAAGTTTCTAGGTCACTGCAGCCAAAGCCACCCGAGCTGAGGAAGCGACGAGGCCACCGGAACGCGGAACACCGAAACCACGGTGCCATACCGAAACTGCCGAAGCCGACCGCAGACCGCAGCTCCAAAGCCAACCAAAGCCGCTACTCCGGCTACTCCAAGCAACTCCAAGGCCACCCTCGGGGCTACTCCCTTCGCTCCCATTCAAAGGACACGGAGGATTATTTTCGCGATGCGGACTGTAACGTTTGTTCCGCGACACAAAATAGTCTAGTATTGTACATCAAATATTTTGCAAGACATTTTTTTTTTTCCGCGTACCATGTTACCGCTTACGAAGAAACGAATTCTTACAATAAACTATTGCCTTTCTAGCCAGTCATATGTTGTTTGTGTGTACATCTTATTTCAAGCGTAAACTTACGCGCATGCGTAGGACCCGCGAAGAGGTCATAAAACAGAACGGAGGGACTACTTGTTTTCAAACCTGTTTACTGTGTCGCTCTTGGTACGCGCGGTGTAAACGGAGAAAAACCTCCTTAATTTTGAAATTTTGCTGTGAGTATATTTCTTTGTACAGCGCGTTCTGGTCTTGGAATGGCCAACGTTGCGTGAGAACGTTCCCATAAATTCTTCGCTGGGAGTAAAAAGAAATCAAAACCGCGCAGCCGGGCGACCGGTATCCGCTCCTAAGCCTAGCCCGTCTAGCTCGGCTCGGCCTGTGATCTTTCGGGAAGCTTCGCAGGGCAGGCCCGTTTCAGCTATGTTCTTTAGAGCATTTGAACGTTAGCCTCGTAGCTAGATTTCAAATGTTGCTAAACGGTCGTCAGCAGTGCGAGTGGTTCGTAAATGAGCTGTGTGAATGAGCAGTCTTCCTTCCGTGTCTTCGGCAGGAAGTTTGTTAAGAAAACGTTATCCTGCGTCCTCTTTTCAGGCCTTCGACGTTTTATGCGCGATGCGTGGAATTATCTTGACGTGAATTTCCTGCACGCGACATGCCGCCTAACTGCCAAAATGGCGGCTCCTCCTCATCCCAGTTCGCGCTCTTCCTGTTTGCGCGCCAAATGGCCAAAGATTGAGCTCGCTCTACTCGCATCGTGGCCTTGGAACCGCGCCAATGTGTTTGTACTGTACTGGAGAGCGCAGGGCTTCTATGGAAGGAATGTGTTTTGCGTGCGAAGGTGCCGCCGCAATGCCTCTTACGAATCACTTTTTTTTTTTAGTGCTGTCGCGAACCTAGATGCCTGGCGCCGATTCACACGATGCATCTTTTCGACGCGCCACAGTTTAGCGAAACCGAAATTTCGCGAAATTGGCCTGTTCACACGTGGTATTTGACGCGCGAAACCTGTGGCATATTGACTTAAGAGAATTTCGCCAAATCTTGTCATCTGCACTGGGAATATCAAGCGTTTCGCATCAAAATGATGTGAAGTACACTCAGTGTGAAGAGACGGTCTGCTTTATTAATACCACTCGGTAAACTTCGTCAGATTCGGCTCGCGGGGTTTACTAGCCCTGCCAAACATGGGAAAGACCGCGAACTTCAAAGAACGGGTGGATGATCTCGAAGCATTTCGGACATTTTTTCACCGCTAAGAGAAAGTTATCCCCAGTCATGTTTATATGCGGTGCTTGCACTCGTCGCGACTGTTGACGAATCTCCACCATGCCATCAACGTGGACTGCTGTTCACACACTTGCAACCAAGTAGGACCAAGACTTGTATCGCCCGTACGCGCTGCTTCTCTGCTTGTCACTCGCCACCATGTTTGCTTTTCTTTTTTCGGCTTTGGCTCGGATACGGTATAGGCCAAAAATCACTTTTCTAAAAGCTCGCTCTGCCTCGAAGGTCAGATGCACTGATCTCTACTATAGGGGGCTGGATGATGCGTAGGGCGCGCTGGACCGAAGTCGCCAGAAGTAAGCGGCTTGTTATTGGCTGAAGCTGAGCATGTTGGTTCATTGCTTGTGAATGGGGCCAGCTGAACATGGAAAACACACAGAGAAAAAATATAACATTCGCACCGCTGGACTAGCAACATTTAATGATTCCTCTTTTTCCTTTTCTGCTAATCCTTGATTCCGGTTTCCTTTTTCTTTACACTTAGATTTTTTTAATTCTTTACACTTGATTTACGTTTTCTTTTTCTTTACGCTTAATTCGGAATTTCTCTTCCTTAAACGCATTGTCCTTTCTGCCTTCGTAATGTTCTCATCCCTTTTCTTCTGTCTCCCTTAAACGGTCTTCCTCTTCTACTTTTGCCTGGTCCTCATGTCACTCCGCAGGAAAATCTTCTCGGAGTTGTGTAGTGCGACGGAAGGGGCACTAACACAGTCCTCGCCTTTTTCTTCGATGGCTAGGGCTTCCAGGAGTTCACGGGCGAGTTGATTTTTATGTCGCCCCACAATGCTTACGTTGCACAAGGTTGCCCCGCATTGGCATGCGCGACAATGGGCTGCAAGGTGTCCCGCTGCTGTCACGTTTCGTAGAGATGTGGCATGTTCTCTGGTTCTATCGTTGATACAGCGCCCTGTCTGCCCAATATAACACCTTCCACATGTTAATGGAATGTTATAAATGACCTCTTTTTGACATTGGGCGTACTTTGTTTTGTGTGCGATATTACATTCCTCTTGGTGCCTACGTTGGTCTCCGAGAAGATTTTCCTGCGGAGTGACATGAGGACCAGGCAAAAGTAGAAGAAGAGGAAGACCGTTTAAGGGAGACAGAAGAAAAGGGATGAGAACATTCCGAAGGCAGAAAGGACAATGCGTTTAAGGAAGAGAAATTCCGAATTAAGTGAAAGAAAAAGAAAACGTAAATCAAGTGTAAAGAATTAAAAAAATCTAAGTGTAAAGAAAAAGGAAACCGGAATCAAGGATTAGCAGAAAAGGAAAAAGAGGAATCATTAAATGTTGCTAGTCCAGCGGTGCGAATGTTATATTTTTTCTCTGTGTGTTTTCCATGTTCAGCTGGCCCCATTCACAAGTAAGCGGCTTGTCCGGGAAGTGAGCACTTGCAGGCTTTGTAACCATTCCGAGTGCTGGTTTGAAAAGCGTTGAGGGTGCTGGATTTTCGCTTGTCATCTCAAGAGAGCCTGCTTGTTGCGCAAGAGTGCATGCAGACCCGAGAAGTATCATGGGAGCCATTCAATGTAAACATTTTGAGATTCTAGACGATAAGGTGTGCATATGTCCCAAGTTCAAATGCCTCATTCTCGGGATTTAACTCTGAGCATGATTATTAAAACCCCCTCAAAGGCACCGGAAAGTATGGACGAAGAATGTAGACTGAATGCACTAGGAAGCCCAGCAGATGCTTGATTTCTGGGACATGTATCAAACTTCCGGTGGCTTCACTTGCGCCCTGCTCGGTGAGTGGCTATCCGCCAGCCAGCCCCCTATAGTAAAGATCAGTGGTCAGACGTCGTAGCAAAGTCGAGCGGCCATTAGCAGTGTCCGTGTTTCTCCTTAAGGTGATTGACAGACCTCGGTGAGGTTTCAGCAAAAGACTGCTCCAGATAGGAGCACGCACCACTTTCGGAGGCCACTTTTTCGGTCGCATTCACATGTGAAATCTGTTTCCCGAAACCTAGTTTTGCGGCAATATTTGCCAACAAGCTGCATCATGTGAATAGACCTTTACATTGCCTACATTGCCCCAGAACTCTGAAGTTTTGAGTGGAAAGAGCTCCAAAAACAAAAAAATTGTATTTTGTTTGAATTTTTGTTTTCCTCTTGTTGGCTTGTATGCCTACACTGAGCAAGCAAAACACGAAGGAAGGCGAAGCTGGTAGGAAAAGCCTCGAAAAGAGCTCCCTGAAAGCCTCAAAGTGGCAGCTGTCGTTCCTTTAACAGCTTCTTTAGGGCGGCCGGAAGAAGTGTCCGAGAACATTGGCTGAACCTCTGACGCCTCCAGGAGCTTCCTTTTCAATTAATATGGACTAATAATTGTTAATCAGATGCGTGATCAACCCAACCGGTACACCACAATATTGACTATCAAAACTTTTTTTTTTTTTTTATGGATACCATATTGGGTGAAGAAAGAAAGTGGTGAGGGGAGTGTGTGTGACCCAATAAATTTCAGAAAAAATTCTTATTGATTCCTCACTAGCTGTGTGGATGTGCGACCATTCGAGCAGTTCTTTCCTTCCTTCCAGCAGTTGTGGCTTGAGAAGTCTCGAGAACCCCAAGTACCATGCGCGAGTGCATCTCTGTCCACGTGGGTCAGGCGGGCGTGCAGATCGGCAATGCCTGCTGGGAGCTTTACTGCCTGGAGCATGGCATCCAGCCGGACGGGCAGATGCCGAGCGACAAGACCATTGGTGGGGGTGACGACTCCTTCAACACCTTCTTCAGTGAGACCGGGGCCGGCAAGCACGTGCCCCGGGCTGTCTACGTGGACCTGGAGCCCACCGTGGTAGATGAAGTGCGCACCGGTACCTACAGGTGAGGAGAGCTGGGGACGCATGCCTCGTTTTTTAAAGTGATGGGTATGGAGGCCAAGTGTTGTAAAACATGTCTTTGGCAGATTGGAATGTACCGATCGATGGGCGATATAAGGAGCGTGCAAAGAGCGTACGACGACAAGGCAGCAGAGTTTGTGCCGTTGTCTATCGAGATCGGGGGAAACAAAGGCATGTGGGTGCATTTAGATGGTAAAGAAACTCACGAGATGCACCGGGAGCAGATGGATTTGCATGCTGCATGGGAACGTGTTGGTTGCTCCGTAGCAAAACTTTGGGAGAAGGTGTTGGCGATGGAGCGCAGCTGTCGGTTCGACGTCGTTTAAAGGGACAATGAAGGCAATTTCGGACATCTTTTTGGCGATTGAACTGAGTTCCAGGCACGTCTCAGGCCACGTTGCCCAAATTTCAGCCAAAACCGGCGCTTGTGTGCCGCGCATATCAATTAAACAGTCGCGGTAATAATCGTACCGGAATCGACTGGGGCGACGCCCCGAGAGTTGTGGGAGAAGCCAGGAGAAGCGGAGCTCACGTGACCGATGCGGGGCCAAGAAGCGACTCCTCAGCGATTGGTCGAAACGAGAGACGCGCCCTCGGTCACGTTTTGGTTCTCGGTTTTTAGGAATACTGTTCTAATTTCCGCTTGAATAACCATGAAAAGCATAAATCGGACCAAAAAGAATTACTAACCCGTAAATAAAGCAGCATAATTGTTTTTTTTTCTTTGCTACGCTGCACGCGAAACGGCCAACGAGCAACTATGGACACTTCGGCATGCGGGCCGCTCGTTACCATCGTTACCGGCTGGGCGGTCTCCCTCGGGTGACGGCGGAGGCCGCCACACACGTACTCCCGTTCCGTGTGTGTTGGGTTACTGAACGGAAGCTCGAACTCGCTCGCGAGAGCGGCATTGCCTTCCATGTTGACAGATTCGACGAAACGACCGCGCCGCTATAACCCACCGCGGTAACCAGAATCTCGATCTCCTAGATACTACCGATACCGACTATTCACACTTGACGTCACTCCTGCGTCACCTCCGTTTTTGGAGGCCCAGAAACGAAAATGGAGATTGTTCAGTTTCGGTTTCTTTACTTCTTTCGTAGGCACAGAAACACGCATCAAAAATGGCTACCAAAAATTGGGCAGCATGCAATGTTCCCAAGAAGCATTAAAACACCATTTAAAAAAATTAAATAAAATCGTCTTCATTGTCCCTTTAACGCTTGAAACAAATGGTGTTGTGCCACAGCGAGTGGTGCAAGCGGTGCGCCAACACCTTCTAGCAATGCATAGGAAAGGGGGCTGCATAGTAGGGTGAGTACTGTGTATTGGTGCTGTTGCACCTTTGTTGCACAAGCCGCGAGATGTTTGTGGCGAATGGCTCCCTAGGTGCAGATGGTAGCATTACTAACACGCTTGTTCCGGGACGTTTCCGGCGATTCTGTTTAGGCTGTGATATTTTTTAGAGGTGGGATCTATGGGCACCTTTAATGCAATGCAGTGTTCAGGTTTCTTTTTAGTTCAGTCGTCGGGCAAGATTTGCGTGCCTCCCAAATCGGTCGAGTGTTGCTTCTGGACGCTGCGAGAGAATGCATTAGGTTTACGCCTCAAAGCCTGCTTTTAATGACAATATAAACTCTGGTGTTGTGGCTTTGTGTAGCTTTTTGTATGGTCTCATATTTGCAACAGCAAAGGATGCACCTTGGAAGTTTCCATTTTAGTGTTAACTCGGCACTTCGAGGGGACCTAGTTCATCTGTTTCGGCACAGACTGGATTGCCTACACGTGTGCCTTCTGTGCCTGCAGGCAGCTGTTCCACCCGGAGCAGCTGATCACGGGCAAGGAGGACGCGGCCAACAACTATGCCCGGGGCCACTACACGATCGGCAAGGAGATTGTGGACCTGGTGCTGGACCGGATCAGGAAGCTGGCAGACCAGTGCACGGGCCTGCAGGGTTTCCTCATCTTCCACAGCTTCGGGGGCGGCACTGGCTCGGGCTTCACTTCCCTTCTCATGGAGCGCCTGTCCGTGGACTACGGCAAGAAGTCCAAGCTGGAGTTTGCCATCTACCCCGCCCCCCAGGTGTGCCTTTGCTTGTTCCTCACTTCTTGGCGACCGACTGCTTTTCTGAGTACCTTGCGACACAGTGCCCGGAACGTGTCTCTGATCGACGCACCTACAATCCTTCCCACCCGTGGATCAAAAATGGTCCCGAAGTGGCAGCGCAGGAGCCGGCGTGTTGCGCTGTCGGATGATGCAATTGTGGCGGTTAATCATAGAAATGCCGGCAAAAAAAGGCTCGCGAACGTGAGGTTTACCGTCGTTGTGGCGTCCTAGTCTCGTGCCACCTTTGGCCTTCGTTGGCTGTCTGGCTGCGGAGCGACCTGCAGTGGAACAAGCGCCTGTTGTACGCAGTTCCGCTGCCTGCCAGCATCGCAGCAAGCACGACGCTCCTGCGATGTCGTTGGGTGCGAATTGAGGGACTGCTTTTGAGGACTCTACAAACGCATTAGGCACCAATACCTGGTCAATGTCCAGTCCTACTAAAAGATGGCGGTACATGTCGATGCTATGGGTGATACAGGGCAGTCCCGCTTCGGCAAGGTCTCCAGTTTTCTTGGTGACAGAGAAGCTTACCCAGCAGGCAGCCGTCCCCTGTTACTGTGTCTGATGGAAACCGTGTCCCGATCCGTTCCTCCACCCGAGGGGAAGGGGGGCCAGCTGTGTGCGGTGATTTGTCCCCCATGCGGGGGACAACTCTCCTTTTAGGTATTCTCATTGTCTGGTTGATATCTGTGTAGTGTCATAGGGCCAAATGTTTATTAATCCTAACCTGGGCTTTTTTTTTTTTTCTTTTTACTTTTTCTTTTTTTAATAATAATATATAGTAAAGTTTATACACCTTTTGAAAGCTTGTCTTCGAAACTAGTGGGATAATTTTAAGTTTTTTGGTTATAGTGTACTTTCTTCACTCGAGGCTGAGCAGCAAAATTGAGGAAATAACTGTTGACAGGTTTTTCGCGAGATCATTTGTTCAAAGGAGCTGAACAATGATTTTAACGTTGAAAGAATTGGCATCTTATACGTTTGACATTGTTCACCTTGTCATAAAGGACAGAAAACACACCTCCTTTCTCCGAAATGTTGCAATTCCGCCGCACAATCGCGAGGCAAAAAATTAGAATATTCCCCAGCCATGAGAAACATGTGGCGTGATGTCAATGGGGGTCTTGTAGAAAGATAGCAAGCTGTGTGAATACCTGCTCGATAAAAGGTAACTTTTATCGAGCAGGTATTCACACGGTTTTTTGTTCTTCACTTCAGAAAAATCAAGACAGAAACTCCCTAATTATTTATGCAAAGCACTGAAACTTTTGCACAGGCCCTTTAAAGTTTCGTGCCTCCGACACACGAGCGAGCCTGTGCTGCTGTTACCTCCCCTTCTGGTTTGTACTTTTCCCGGCCGTATCGTTGCTTTCTGGTGCTCTGCTGTCGGCCACAAAGAGTTTGATACTCTGACTCTCGAGTCCTATATCAAGCTACTGTGACACCAGTTTCTTTGGCTTCGGTTACATCTACGGTGTTCTGGTGCTCCCTTTCAGGTGTCCACGGCGGTCGTGGAGCCCTACAATTCCATCCTCACCACCCACACCACACTGGAGCATTCCGACTGCGCATTCATGGTTGACAACGAAGCAATCTACGACATCTGCCGACGCAACTTGGACATAGAGCGCCCCACCTACACGAACCTGAACCGCCTTATCGGCCAGATCGTCTCTTCCATCACGGCTTCCCTGCGCTTCGACGGCGCCCTCAACGTCGATCTGACAGAGTTCCAGACCAACCTGGTGCCGTACCCCCGCATCCACTTCCCTCTGGTGACATACGCTCCGGTCATCTCTGCGGAGAAGGCATACCACGAGCAGCTCACTGTCTCAGAGATCACCAACTCGTGCTTTGAGCCGGCCAACCAGATGGTGAAGTGCGACCCCCGCCACGGCAAGTACATGGCCTGCTGCCTCCTGTACCGCGGAGATGTGGTGCCCAAGGACGTGAATGCAGCCATTGCTGCCATCAAGACCAAGAGGAGCATCCAGTTTGTGGACTGGTGCCCCACTGGCTTCAAGGTATGTGCACTTGGCTTGCACTCCCTTGCAAAGTATTACTTTCATTAGTGGGAAAGCAGCTTCGTAAATTCTGTTTTGTCCTGCTGTCCTGTCCCTTGGAAGCTAATATACCAGCATTTTCGTAACAGTTTAAAAGCATCATGTGTTCAACATAGCTTTCACCTGTGACTACTTTGTAATAGTTTGTTGTTTAGCCTCTTTTTCTTGGCCATTTTGAGGCGACTCCAATGTTTTCATGCTGTGTCCAGGTTGGTATCAACTACCAGCCGCCGACGGTGGTTCCCGGGGGCGACTTGGCCAAGGTGCAGCGTGCGGTGTGTATGCTCTCCAACACGACTGCCATTGCGGAGGCCTGGGCCCGCCTGGACCACAAGTTTGACCTGATGTACGCCAAGAGGGCCTTTGTGCACTGGTATGTGGGCGAAGGCATGGAGGAAGGCGAATTCTCGGAGGCCAGGGAGGACCTGGCTGCCCTGGAGAAGGACTATGAGGAAGTGGGCATCGACTCTGCCGAGGGGGCCGAGGACGACGGTGGGGAGGAATTCTAAGAGTCGTTTCTTGAGAAAAGAAGCATGTTTGCCCTCCTGCCTTGGGGCTGGAATAAAAAAGGCAGTTCAGAGTCAATGCTGTGCCAATTTCTTTAGAGACCACGTTGAGAAAATATTTTAGCGTGAGCTTTGTGGTTCGACCATCTTAATCGACGTCCACTCGGTCGGCGAACTCGCTTACTGCCCAGAAAATCGCACGATAGATGGTATCCAACAAAATGTTTTACTACACTTGACTTGCTGCAGTTTATCTCCTTGTCTGAGTATGTTGTCAGTCTCTCCACGGAACTTGATGGGGTTGCGCCCGGTCTGCTTCACAATATTTGTTGGCTCATTCCCTTTGTTTCCCAAAACACGAGGACCTCCGCAAACCCAGTTTATCCAGGCGTCTAATAAGCACCTTGAAGACCTGTGGACTAAGTCTCTGGGAGGGTGAGGAATGTTGAGCCTGGAGGCTTTGCATAGAAAAGGACGGAGTTCGCAGCTTTTGGCAAGAACTACTTGAAACTAGGGTAAAAGTGTATAGTATCTGGAACTGGCACTGGATGGAGCAATATGTCATGTAGCAGAAGCTACATAAGGGAGCTCTGGGCTTTTTACATGTCTGGTAAGCCTGTTAGTGTAGTGCAAACATTGTTACAACATGCTAGTGTTTGTAGCTTTGACTTTGTAGGGTGGTGACACGTGACCTACTTCCAGCTTGGAGTCTAGTATCTGCTAATGAATGCGAACTGCAAGGACGCCCCCTTATCAACAGATGCTACTAAAGATGCTGTAGTGAGCTCTTCTCATGTCAAGGATGGTTGACTGCAGCCATGCAGTTTGGTCCTGCGGATAGACTGATTTTGCGAAGCTTTCGTGCATGAGGCTGCCATAACTGATTCACAGAAATGGGCGACAGTGCCCGAGACTGTTTGTGCTGTTCAGTGCTCTGCGTGTGCAGAGTTCCAGCGAGGTTCCCTCGATGCATTGCAGCAACGACGGCGTAGCGCAACTGGATTGTGACATCGGTCCAATGCCAATAAGCCACTTTGAATTCTCCCAACTCCCTTTTTGGATTAATGTTCAGTTAAACTAACTGCTTGAATTTCCTTACTTGAGATATAGTTTTATCCGAAACAAGTACCGTAAAACACCAGGGGAGCACCCATCTCGCTTTTGCTGAAAACTTAATCTAGACATAGGCGCTTCTCCGGTCAAATCGGACGGTCAACGTATATTTTGCAGAATTCCTAGGTTTGGGAAATGTTAATTGTGGGCGCTTGAATGAAGTGAGTGCTACTGCGGTATTTTACAGTAGGTCCTTTTGTTGCATGTCTGTCCTGTTAGACGGCTAACATTGGTGAGAATGGCTGGGTCCCATACTTGGATTTGAATGGTCGCTCTCAAAACATTTGAGCCCAATAAGGCGATTTGAGGTTTTCCTATAGCTGGTCCAATAACCTTGCATGTATTATGGTATTTGTGATTTGAGTTCTCCCACATACTTCGAAACACCTGCTCGGAAGACTACCAATTGGAAGACTCCCACAGCTTTAACCTTGAAACACTAATAAAGTACCTGCAGTGATGTCATTGCTGTGCCAGTTGCGCCAAACTCTGCCAAGGGGCGAACCCTGCCACCCTGCTACATTTTGCCAAAATATGGGTAATCTGCGCCAAGCCTGGGCCAAAACAATTTCGGTCGCCTTTCAAAACGGAAACTAAACTTGCGTGTGTTAAGTAGCTAGAAATTAGTGTTATGTGATGCAAGTGGCTGCCCGACACAAAGTACTTCTACATCAATTGTCCATCCGGTCTTGCATGGTTTTCCCGCCGTTTCGCGCTCTGGTCATCTCGTGGGTTTCGTCTCGCGTATTTTCAATGATAGACGAGGGTGTGTACGGACGATCTGACACCAGCGTGCCGGGTACCAGCCATGCCGTCACGCTGTGAAACCTGTGAAACGAATCCACGTTTTTGCGCGTCGGGGGTTACTTTGTGAGCCTAGGTTTCTCTCGGTGGGCCTTCTTTCGAGAGGGACCCTGGTAAGTGAAAAATCTGCTGCGAAAGAAAGTTGGTGAAGAGAAGTGAGCTAAAGCAAAGAAGCTAATGTCTGCATGTTGAACCCGCACAGCTCGCTTGTTTGTCTCGACTTCAGTCGTTGCACAAAGCGCTCCAAGAACTTTTTGACCCTGGCTCGCGATGTCTTGCATCGATGCGCTCACATTCTTTTTTTTTTTTGTCTGTGTTTAGCTTGTACCTTGTTTGCCGGCCTGAGGAGCAAACGCCGCTGGACTGTTTTTTTTTTTTTTTTTGTTGTCGTATGCTTGGCAGTTACATTTTGCGTTCAATTTTGGGAACCAGTTAGCGACGAAGCGGAGTGGCATAGTTTCGGTTTCGATCGAACGGACCTTGGCTCTGTCCGCGCGACGAAGCATGCGCAACTGAAAGCCTGCCGAAGTTGCTCTCACGTGCATGCGAACATGATTACACGACAGGGGCACCAGCCGGGATGCTTGCAATTAATTGTTTTACAATTGCTTACTTTCGATGAAAATCTGGCACGTCGGGAACCAGTAAAACGGTAACAAGCGGTTTTTCGGAATTGCACGGCATTGCCTACAGCACTATACACTTGTGGGATGTCTCAGCAGTAAAAACACCAGCAGCAAGTTCCGACAAAACACGTTATATCAGAACACAACACAAATTGCCCTTCGTTTGTAAAGTACTTAAAAAAAAAAAATCCAAAAATATTTGTTACAAAAGCCACTTCTGCAGCTCTGAAACGTCTTGGCTGCTCCATTAGCCATTTTTGCTGCTCCAAAACACTCTTGGTTGCTCCAAAGGCCACATTTTCTGCTCCAAAACACTCTTTTGGCTGCTCCGAAAGGTGCTCCAAAATGGCTCAGGCCAATCACATCACTGTACCTGTCATTGCATGCTTGAACTTCATCTAGGTATGCACACGAAACATCCCGGTAAAGAAAGCAGTGGTACTGCTTGCTTCAGATGAAACACCATTCCAGAATGTTTTTCACTTTACACAAGCACAATGGCACCCAGGTATCCCTCGCGTGCAACATTGCTGACCCATGAGCTTCTTTATTGCATCAATGTTGATGTAGTCCTGGGGCCCTAAGCTATACAACGGGAGCAAGGGACTGGGGCATTCCCGCCTGCTGCGGTCAGTCAGTGTCGCTCCACTGACCGACCTCCTGTGCCGATGTTCCAGTCCCTTGGTCACCCAGAGCAGCTTACGGTCCCCAGAGAACACTCCTTCATGACAAAAGTCAAATGTGAGCAAAAAGTCCACAAATTAGCACAACATTGAGATGTGCCTCCTTGAGCAACAATCTAACGGGAAAATGCACACAAAGGTTCTTGCGTGACATATGTTCTATTAATGACTAGGGCTGGGCGTCGATTAAAAAGTTTAACCTGATTAATCTGTTAATCATTTTCGTTCATTTCCACGCGTAACAGTTTTAAAAAAGCCAAAATTAAATGTTTTGCCTTTGCTGAACGTTTAACAAACTATGCAGTACAATTTCCAATTTTAAATCAACCTTGATGTGTGGTTGAGGTTCCACGGCAATAGCGAAATCCTTTGATTTGTCACAATCGTCTCTGTTGCGCTAAACGGACACTCAAACAGCGTTCAAGTGGCTGGGACACGTGCAACCTTCTCCACTTGTTTGGAGTTACAAATATCGTTCCTGCAGTTCACTTTAGGTGGTCAAAACTTCTCCAGAGGTTTGCCTTCATACAGGTGTGCTCGTCCACACCTGCATGGTGAAAGTGTTGAATTTTTACTAAAATTATTGTTGTTTTTCAAAATTTAACCGATTAATGGGTTCAAAACATCAGTCGCGATTAAAGCATTAGTCGATTAATCGGTAGGTTAATTGATCAAATGCCCAGCCCTATTATTAATAACAGAAGAATGGAAACCATTTAACATAAAATAATGCAACAAGCCAGAATTTATGGTCACCTGAATTCATGGTCACTGCATGGGTTCTAATTTTCAGTTTGTGAAAATGGGAACCCGCAAATAATTCAATATTTCCAGCTTTGGCCCAGTTCGCGAAAATTCGAGCCCATAGAAATTAAGTTGTTTACAGTATATATGTTTCTAACAAAAATCTTTGTTTTTCACAACCTTGCACCCCAAAGTTCTTGGCTGTGTCTAAAGGATGTCTATAGTCGGTGAGAGGTTAAGAAAAAAGTGGAGGCCCCTCCCACCTCTTTCCACCTTAGCAGAGTGAATGCTAGAGGGCAGGCAACCTCCTCTCAAGCGTTTGCTCCGCTAAAGTGAAAAGAGGGGGGAGGAGGGAGCTTCCACTTTACTCTTAACCCGTCGCTGACTGTAGAGCCATACAACTGTCATCTTCCACTTGTTGCTTATGCGTAAAAATACTAGTATTTCGAATCTAATGTCACTGCACTGCACATGTAGCCTCCAGCCTTCAGATTAGAAAAATAGATTCCAATGTCTTGCCTTCGTGTGCACTTTTATGGCCTAGCTTAGGGTGCTTCCACATGAAGGCAGCCTAGACAGTGCCGCGAAAGCCGAATTTTGTCTACCAACAAACAAAATCGGTTTTTTGGAGACCCGAGCAACCTTCCACAATCTTGCTTTGCGTTTCCTACATCACGTAAAGCAGAAGCTCGTACTGCCGAGTCGGATATTACAAATTCAGTTCCTATTCCTGCCAGTACTGGCGTGCACATACATATCCATTGCTGTGCCACACACATGAACGACCCCCCGTTGAGCAGTCTCACCGCAGTGACCAAATGTCTCGTCGACCAAAATCACTTGCATGTTTCAGGCCATATCAGGGATTCTGAAACGTCCTAGTCTCGGGGAATCCCTATTTGCCTTAAATGGCAACCGAAAAACCTTTTCTGGCCCAGGCATTGACCTGCACAAGCGGCGCAGAAGTTCACAGTCCTTGTGAACGATACGGCGGTGGCCCGTAGGAAAGGGAGGCGCGTGCCGTCAACAGAACCAGGACTCCCTCCCCAGCTGCAGCATTCGCACGGACGGCGGGGTACCTAGAGGAATGTCGGTGTTAGCAGACAAATTTAGGGATCTCACTCCCGACAACGAGGTTCTGTGCACACCGAGGTAATTGAACAGGAGCTCAAACGATGATGCATTTGTAGACCCACCTGGGGTCGAACGATACAATACGAACAATGCGTAGAGATCCCTTGTCCAGTCTTCGCTGCTTATGACGATGAGTTTCGTGAGAATCCTCGTATATTTCTCGACCTCCATTCGCTTCAGGTCATTTTGGTATAATGCGGTGGTGCCTAAACCTGAGTTCCTTGGCAAATGTTGAAGTCTCTGCTCTGAAATGGAGGACCGGCTAGTTTCCCCAGGACCCTGACCGGTACCAAACAAATGTTGACACAACACTCTGGTTGCCGCCGTCGCTCTTGGATTGCAGTGGCTGTCCAGGGTGTTATGTTTGCCGGTTGTCTGCCTGGCGCCGTTGCTAATATATGGCGGCAACCTTTCTAGCTTCGGCAACCAGATAACTGGTTGCTGCCGTTGCTCATAGATGGAGGCAACATTTCTTTGGAGGAAGAAGATCGGGAACGAAATGAGCGGCCAATGTGTGCAGCAGTGCGAATGGTTCCGGAATTGCCGCGAGGTTGCTATCGCCTGAAGTTCCACTGCAATGAGCGCTTGAATTCCCCCTCAAAAGAAGAGCAGATCGCTCGCCTGGAAAGCTACTGCCGAGAACAGAAGCTACAGCTCCGCTGCTCTTCTTTCTTTACCAGGGTGGAAAGGCTGAAAGTTTTTAGGACAGCAGGGAGGCTGAACTGGGTGAAGATAGCACGGAGCTTGCGAATGACCTCTGTAGTTGTGAGTGATGTTTACCATTGAGTACTTTGAATAGTCGTCCATGACGACTGTGGTACACTTGCCATCGGGGAACGGTCCGGCGAAGCCCATTGACACCTCGGTCCAGGAAGCTTCAGGCAGTTCCAGGACAGGCAAGAAATCACAATGGTGCTCAGGTGTTGTGGCCTGGCAGGCTATGCATATTATAATATTTTCCACAAGCACATCCACCCCAAGAAATCAGACCTTGCTTTGAGCAATATTTTTTGTTTTGACAATTGCCTGATATCCTTTGTCCACAAGGTGGACTGCCCTCACTCCGCTAAATTTAGCAGAAAATATTTCTCCGCTAAATTTAGTGGAAAAAACTTCCCTGCTAAATTTAGCGGAAAAAATTTCCCTGCCAACTTTAGCGGGAAAAATTCCCCGGTAAATTTAGCGGAAAAAATTACCCGCCATATTTAGCGCAAAAGTTTCCCCGCTAAATTTAGCGGAAAATATTCCCCTAAATGGTAGGTGAGCGGGAGAGGAAGGACATGGCCTCTTATCCGTACCTTCCCTTCCTCCTCCAAGCTGCACTCTAATTCGGCGTTACAGGGGATTGTAAACGTCTTTCATGTTTTTCAAGGCAGCATGCTTTGAGGTCTACCCACTCCACTTCAATCAGAGCCGACCAGAGTTCGGCGTTTCGATGTCGCCAGTAAAGCCCCTCAATGTGTTTGCGTTTGTCTTGCAAGTAGCGTCAAATGCGCCAGTGCATGAGGTCTGTGTCTTGAGCGACCCTTCGAAGCAAATGGCAGCGTAGCACTGAAATGAGCGGCCCCTGGAAGTGAATGGTGGCTGAGCACCCGCTCGTGGCACGTGTCCTATGCGTTTCCTCAACAATGGCTGGCACTACTCGTAAATGCCGTTATCAAGGGGTTTTAGTCGCAACAACCCCAACAAAAAGAGGCAGATGAACTTGCGCTCCACATAAAACAAAGCTTATGTGCTATACAACCAATTTGAGTCTGACACCCAAAGTTATGACAAAATAAATGACTGCTCTGTTTATTATTGCTCTAGCGAATTCCTGGTGTGGGCATCTGGGTTTGCACTGTACCCATACACGTTTGCAAGTATGGCATCTTGCTGCTGGGGCACCAAGCTAGTCCGATTACGATGCCTTGCTAAGGCATACATAAGGTTGCCGGACTCACCGGACTGGTGCCCCACAGCAATGCATTTTCGCGCACAGGATGGCCAGACCAGTTTTTGAACAGGGCTGATCACAAGCATCTAAAAAATACTACGGTGGCAAGACGTTTGAACTTATGCAGGTTGACATAAGCATCGTTCCATTTACCTGCACCTCTTGCACTGGTGCAGAAAAGTATAAGGGCGGGTAGGGTGGTGTATTTCCGGTCGTATCTCAAAACACATACTGGAAGTACACTGTCGCAAACTCTCCTGCACCGGTGCAGGAGGTGCAAGTAAATTAAATGAAGATGTCACTCCGGAGGAGGCGGCGGTGGCACCCAGCGGCGAACCGTCCTGTCCATCAGCGCGTGGATTCCGTGGTCGATGGGCGACACGATGAAGGGTACGCAGCTGAGGCCGATGCCGGTGGTAGTCCACTTGCAAGCATTGAGCGTCAGTCCCGAGTGGCGTTTGAGCAAATGCAGAGAGAGGGCACACACCCTGTTGATGGTGAAGCCAGGGACTATGACGGACGCCAGCGCTTGCCACACCAGGGTGTCTGCGGCCGTGGCCAGGAGCTTTCTCCGGTGCGTTGCCTCGTCCGTGCACTTTGTCTGCGGTAAATGTGAGAGCGGATTCTGCAGTCATTTATACGAACCCCCAACACCCCTGGACTGAGTCCAACAAGGTCGTGATAGATGGAGCGAGCAGACAACAAAGTGTGTCGTCTACTCGCCGCACCTGTCGGGAGATGGTGCCACAAGTAAATAGCGTCGCCAACTTAGTTGTCTGCGAACGCGCTCGACCTTGGCAAGGTTTTTTGCTCTGGTTGTTTACGGGAAGAGCACTGCACCTCTAAATTTCGCAGGGTACAACTGACTTGCTTGGTATACAATTTGTGATAGTTTGAGCTTTCAACGTGCAGGCACTGATTTTTCCGGCTCGTTTTCCAGGGAAGATTCGCTTGAGACACACCCTGCAAGGACTTTTTCACTGGTTTTTAATTTGCACCGAACCTGAGTGCGCCGAACGTAGTAACTTAATGAAACTTTTCTTAAATTTCGCTTTATTTTAAAAGTTATAGGCAAATTAAAATTACAAAAAACAAGCATAAATAACCTCCTTCATGACGTTCTTGGTCGCTTGAGTGGCCGTGAACTAGAGGACGAATAGTGAGCTCAGCGAGCGGTCACGGCTGCCACAGTCCGTGTCAACGGCTTGAGAGGGCGCCACTTAAGCATGGCATGTTCTGGATAGGCTGTATGAAGCGGGCGGCCAGGGCGGCTCGCATTGCATTTGCTGCGTGATTAAACACTAATCCGGCATGACACTTCATTGGCCACAAACGACAGCAAACACGAGGGGAAAATCAGTTCAGAACGGGAGCCACTTTGCGCTGCCATACCGCCAAACGGCCTAACCTGCTCGGAACGCTCGGAACCGGCCGGATCCTCGAGCCCGTATACAACTGCAGCGCTGCCGCATACATCCAGGACCTTTCTACACTCGCAGCTTGTCGGTGCCTGATCCCACTACCCCTTTTTAGTATGTGTTGTCTTTTCCACAGCTTGATGGCGGGTATGTCGATGGGTCATTTCTTGTTTTCATACTTTATAAACTGCATTTGTTTCTTTTTTGATCTATAATACTGAACAAAAACTACTTTCATAAATATTTGAAACGGTTTGTGCCACTTATATAGGGTGACCGAAGTCACAAGGCTCGGTCTAAAATGAACCGTAAAAATCGACGCCTGCACGTAGCTATCTAAACTTTGTTTTTTTTTTTTTTTGTAAAATTAGAAAGCGTAGCTCCCTTTGTGTAAGAAAAATAGGGCCAAGAAACTTGCCTAGGTCAACGGCGGGCGGTGAGGCAGACGACAAAGTCGAGTTGCGGGGCGCCTTTGGCGCGCATATTGATAGATGGCGCTACCTCCTTATCGAGACGGTTAGCATCCACCGTGGTTTATTATAATGAAAACAATCTTTTTGTAATGTACCTCTGGTTAAAAAATAAATGCGAACAATAAAAGCAAAGCTTAAAAAGAAAAAAAAAAGAGGCTGCATAACCACAACATTTTTGCTGCCAACGGATTTCGTCTGTGTGTAGTCTGCTTTTTTTCGCTGGTCGGTTGCACCTTCCGACGCTGCTCACGACGCCATCTATCAATACGCGTGCCAAACGCGCTTGCAATTCGACTTGGTCGTCCGCGTCGCCGCTTGCCGTTGACCCAGGCACGTTTCTTGGCCCTATTTTTTACAGAAAGGGAGCTACGCTTTCTAATTTTGCAAGAAAAAACCGACGTGTAAAATACACCTTTGACAAAAAGTTCAGATTACTACATGCAGGCGTCGATTTTTACAGTCCATTTTAGACCGAGCCTGGTGACTTGGGCCACCCTATATTTTGTATTTCGACTAAAAAGAAGCTTTTACCGACTCTGACCAGTAGTAAGCGCAAAACCAAAGACTTCACATATCGCGCGCTTTTGGCACCGCGGGTTGCACCTGTAGTTGGAGGAGGTTTCCGCGTCATTTGGTTAAAATATGACACACTGATATTTAGTTACTCTCTCCGTGCCGGTTCGCTTGCCTGAAACCCAAGAGATGGGGAAACCGCAAAAAAGGTAGAGTTTTAAATATGATTGCAGGGCCCCTTTAACGTGGACTGACCACAAAGGCTACAAGTTTGAGTATCTAGCTTCGACCGCTGCACGGAGCTAGAAACTTGAACTAGCTCCGTGCAGCAGTTATGCTGCGATCCAACAGAAGGAGCTTGTGCTTGTAGCTTTGCGTTTACTCCGTTGGATGAGACGAAGTATAGTTTACGTAAAATTTCTGAGGGCCAGACAGATTTTCTGGGTTCCTTCTGCAACCATCTTTGTAGTCTGCCATGGTGTTTGCAAACCACTGGTTTATATATCTATAGCTCTTCCTTTCAACACCGATAGTCGAAAGCTGTCATAAGGTTGGGTGACCATACCCTTGTCTGGGTGACAAGTAAACCATAAAACAAGGAAAAAAGCTGCACTTAGCAATGCTTTCATTTGAACTTACTATGGGGTCTGATTGAGAAAGGTAAACCAGGCTTTTTAGCCCGCGCAAATAAACCACACTTCGCGGAAAGCTGGAAGTTTTCCAGAATGTGACGCAAGAAATTTAATCCAGAATGGAGAATGTTTGAGAGCATGAACTTATATGAATCGAAGATTAAAAGAAAATAAGGACTGATCTCTACGAGCAGACATCGACCCCGGAGAAAAGTGGAACAATCACGTCAGCTTTGCGTCGCATCGCATAGATGGCGCCACCTGCTGGTGCCATCTCTGCTGGTGTTAGTGTCAGAGCCACTGGTTTTGGTTTTAGCAGCAAAACGGAATCGCTGTTCAATACTTTGTGCTGTTTTACTTACACACTGTTTTTTATTTCAACGAAAATAAAGAAAATAAAATGTACACTGCGATACTTGGGTGCATTTGCTCAGATATGTCGATGGGGTGCAAGTTCGTCTACTACTTGCACAGGGGTCAATGTTACAAGATTACCTAAGTTGTGGAACTCCCGCAGAAGGGGTTACCTTCCTTCACTCACCTCAGTCTCCTTCTCGTCATTTGAATCGCCCTCTAGATTTTTGTTTTACAACTGTGTCCGACAGAACACGATGGAACACCATCTAGACGCTGTGTTTCGAAACATATGTATTCCATAGAGTACACTGCAGTTATCATAGCAGCCGTCCGGCACGTCGAACGACGGGAGGAGAGTCGTGGTGAGTGAGGGGGGTGGTACTGCTCGTGCAAGCAGCGTCTATGAGCAGTTCCATAACTGAGCTAATCAAATAATGTTGACAGGGGCTGAGATGATGTCAGAATGCCAAACTCTTATTGGCTGATAAAAAAAAATGGTGGGTAGACTTCAAGGCACCTAGCATTGAGGCCTACCTACTATCCTTCCTATCAATGCCAATCAGAACTCTGACGTCACCGCAACCACTGTGCAAGAAGCAGACGACTTGCTCTCCGCAAAACATATCTCAAAATCATGAATCTAGGAGATGCCGTCTATTTTGCTTGCTCTTGAGAAACCGAGACACCAAGATAAAAGTAATCAACGGGAGGGCCTCCTGTTGATCGCATTTATCTTCTGTCGTGTTTCGCTAGACTTTCATGCCTTATGAGGCAAATAACTCAAAAGCAACTAGGAGGAGAAAAGCTTTAAGAAGGTTTGCAGTCGATACCGACGCGATCACCGTCGCAAGTTACCGTTAAAAAGAACCATCTGGAAATGTTTTGGGGAGGTGGGCAGCATCGCTAACGAAAAGAATGTGTTCGCCAGCACGCCGGAAAAGGAACAGCTTTTTTACGGGTTCCTAGGAGCATTCAAAGCGGATCCGCATCTAATGATGAAGACAGTGGCACATTTGTTTGGCGTCTCCAACTTTTGCTGTGCGTTGGATCCTCCACCAGAACAATGTGAGAGGCTACAAAGTGCACATTCTGCATGAGTTGACGCCTCACTACTAGGAGTGACAGCTATACTTCTGTCGCAAAGAAATACCGAGGATCTGATTCAACCCCCCCCCACCATTCTGGACTTCCCTCTCTCGACAGACGAGGAAGTGTTTTACCTTGATGGAGAGGTCAACTCGCAGAACTGGCATCACTGGAACAGCAGTAACCCGCACTGGACAATCGAAAAGTGCTGTTTAAACGCGGCAACTTCCCGTAACAGCCAAGTCGGCGGCGTCCGATTGTTTCAAATAAACATGTTATATCATCAACAACAAAAAAAAAGTTGGGATGCATGGGGACGGCGTAAAACCGAACCACCTCTTTTCTGCAGACTATGATCCAGGAGGGCCAATATTATTTTGTCTTTCTAAACTTTTTTTTATAAATATATGTATTTTCTTCTTTTTTTTATTGGTGACAAGTACCAGTTGTCACCAAGACACCAGTTGAGAGCAGTGCTGCGGAGTTGCCACTCCAGAGTTGGAAATGACTCCAGAATCATTCCATACTTTTGTGATTCCGGATTGGAATGGGAACGGAATGGCGGCAGCGCTGGGGGGAATCGAATGGGAATGGAATTAGATGCCTTTTGCCCGAAATGGGGTGGGAATGGAACGGGCTTGGTTCTTATGCAAGCTGAGCTGATTTTAATCTAAGATGAATCTAAGGCCTACAAACTGATGGCACAATCCGCTAATGCATGGTAAGTGGCTCTTGAAGCAGCCTTATTGCACTAGAGGTGACTGATGGCTTAATTGTCTCACTGGCTTATGCCCTTTAAGGATGAAAATGGCACACTTCCGTGAAGCAACCAAAACTGAATACTTCTAGATGGACAAGGTGTCATTCCTGTTGTATGTGCGACTAGCGTGTAGCTTTTAACCAGGCTGTTGAACCGAAAACCAGAGCAAAACTGTTATCTTTAACTGAAGCAAAACAAAACTGTAAGCGAACTCAAACATTTAAAATTGAACCGAAACCGAAATGGAACCGTAATCTCATGTGGCGGTTCGAAACTATTTGGGGTAAGAAAAATGTGAGCTGCGCCTTCTTGAAGGTGGCGGCGCGAAGCAAATTAAACATTCGCAACGGTGGCGTCAGCAG